CTGCATCGGCCACGCGGCCGGGACAGGCAAACGCTACCCGTGACAATTATTGCCCGGGCATGTGTCCAAAACTGGCGCGACAACGTTGAACGTCGAATGGCAACCCATTCTGATGTTCGCACACATATGGCCAGGAGGAGGACGAAGAGGATGAGGGAGCGCAGGGAAGAGGAGCGCGGAGAGGAGGAGGAGCCAATACAATCAAATTGGGATACAAATGCATGGCACCGGGACTTGGCCATGGCCCCGGGCTCGACTGGGCAGGGACAGGCTTCAATATTGTACCGATGAATTCTGGAAAAACAAGCGCCCTGAATTACCGCGTGAATTTTAATCCAGATAAATGTTGGACGGTGGAAAAACGGCAGCGACGGCAGTGGCACGGAGGAGGAAAGAGACGATACGAAGATAAAAAAGCAGACCGTCCAGCCACTGGACCGGCCCCCCCGCGAAGCGGGGGGAAAGTAGCCACTGGGGGGGAGAGGAGAAGGAGGCGAAGGACGAGGAGGTGGATCGCCGACGCCAAGCGTCGCAGAACAGACCTGGAGGAGGCCTGGGCCTGAACGCCCCGGGGGAGCGAGGACGAAACAGGCAGAGGAGGCGAAGACCCAGCCCACCCTGGCGGGGCTAGCCGGAGCTCCGCCTCCGAAAGGCCGGCGCGGGAGGAAAGAGAGGAGAGGGAACGCTTTGCGCAGCGTCTGCAGCATCACCTGACGCGCGTGCCATTGATTCTGCAGAAACCGCACGTCATCCCAAACACTGGCGGGAATTCGAACCAAAGTGCCAAGGAGTTAACTTGCACATGTTGCCACAAGACTTTAACTATGCGGCCACCTGTTTAACTGCTGCGCACGCGAGCTAACGGCCGCACGGCCGGGACAGACGAGACCAACCCTACGCACGCCGGAGCTCATGCCGCGGGCTCGGCGCGGCGCCACGTCGTGAGATCCCGCGGCGCTGCGTGGCCAGATACGCCGGACCACCGCCATAAGAATAGCGGAAGGGAGGGAACGAAGGAGGAGGGGAGACGGGAGGGGGGAGCAGAGGGAAGGGGGAAGGGAGACTGCCGCGCACGCCTATCGGCCACGCGGCCGGGACAGAGGCCACGGGGCCGTCGCACACCGTGACTCGTGTCACGGACTCGGCGCGCAGGCCAACTCTAGGCAAACCGGGCCGCTAGCTAAGCGGTCGCGGCTGGACGCCAGCCACGGAGAAGGTGGAGGAGGAGCGGGAGGACGGCGGCCGGGGCGCCCTATCGGCGGTACGGGTCGGCGAAAAATGCCCGTCGTTGCGGCGCGCGCGCGGGTGCGCGGCGTTCGCCAGCAAACGCCCGCGCTCGCGCGCTCGGCGCTCGCCGAAGGATGCCCGCGGACCAGCTCTGGAGTAGCCTGGTGGAGCGCGTCGGCCGTCATCGGGCCAGTCTGCTCAGAATGGCGCCACTTGCAGTGCACCCGGCGGCCCGCACCGCGGAAAGCAGGACGGTGTCCGCGGGCATGTTCGCCACCGGCCGGTCCATCAGCAGGAAGGCTGCCAGGCTGTCCGCCGCCGACGGGATCGCTCGCCGGCGCCACGCGAACGTGTGCACGACGGGGCTGCGCGCGTAGTGCTCGATGGAGTCCTCCAACATGCACCCGAAGATGCCTCTGCGCCGCTGTTGACACCGACGGCCGGTGCAGCATCCGTTGAACCACGTCCGCAGCAATGCGGCGCGGACGCAAGGAGGAGCCGCAGTCCGCAACCTCTCGAGGACCCCCTGCGCCCGCGAAGTGCGGCGACGCGGGAATAGGCTCAAAGACCACCGTTCCAGACGTCTCCGCCATAAGCGCCCCGGCACTGCCGCCGGGAGCTCTTGCAAAATATCCAGGCCAAGCCCGTGCGTTGCCAGCCGGCTTTGCAGCTCTCCTCCCGCTCCTCCGCGTCCACTGGTGCGTCCGCGGCGCCGAGGATCCTGGTCCGTGCGCGGGAGGCCCTCCATCCTAGTCGTTCAAGGTGGTCGGCGGCGGCCTCCAGGTGCAAGACGGCCACGTTCGCGAACCACTGGTGCCAGACAGCCCTCCGGCACAGGAACTCTGGCGCGGCCATGGCCTCGCGCAGGGCGCGGGCACGAAGTGCCACCTGCAGGCCTCCATGGCGACGCGCTTCGTGGACAACCACGCGGAAGCGGGCGGCAGGGGAGAGGTGGTCGACGTCCGTGAGACCGCCTGCAAATCCCATCGGCCTCGGGTCGCGGAGAACCTCTGGGGACAACCATCCGCGTCCCAGGGAAGAAACGCGCGAGAGCTTGGCGCTCGGTCGCACGCCACGCCTCGGGAGGAGGGAGGAGCTGCGCCACGAAGCCGAGGACGGACACCATGTACACGCGCGCGGCGATGAGCGTCAGCCGCTCCAGTGGGTAGGTCCTGGTGGAGGCTCTGCGTGGCGAGGGCCAGGTCGTCCGCGCATGCCCGTGGAACTGCTGAAGGGAGTGGCCGTTGAAGGCGTCGAAGAAGGAGGTCAACAACGATGGCGAAGAGGAGCGGGGAGAGAGGGCAGCCTTGCCGCACTCCCGCCGACAGGCCGAGGCCCGCGAACCGCTGGCCCGCGACGACGATCTGGCAGACGCTGTCCCGGTAGAGGCCCGACACGAAGCGGAGGATACGCGACCGGATGCCAATCCACGTCAGGAGCTCCAGTATGAAACTCTGGTCGATCGACGGGAACGCCGCGCGAAAGTCGAAGAAGACGCGTACTGCAACCTCCGGACTGAGCGCGGCCATCCTCATCTCCGTGTCGATGTCGAGGACCTTGGCCAAGAAGGAGCGGCTGCCAATAAATCCACGGTGGACCTCCGACACCCACTCGGAGAAGATCTCCTCCAGCCGGAAGCGCGCGGCGTTCACCAGAATCCTGTTGTTGCGAAGTTCACGACGTTGATTGGCCTGACTTGGTCGGCGTCGACAAAATTGCCGACCTCCTCGTCGTAACCCGACGCCTTCTTCGGCAGAAGGTGCAGTAGGGAGTAATGAAGTCCGGGAGGTGGCGGCGCTGCAACTCCTCCCCCGCGGGGCCCGCCAGCCCGACGAAGGCCTCGCTGAGAATGTCGATGGCCAGGTCCCCCAACTGCTGATACGCCTCGGCAGGGATGCCGTCAGGGCCTGGGGAGGAGCCCCTCTGAGGAGATGATGGTCTTCCGGTTGTCCTCCCGGCGCACATGCCAGCGGGCCGAATCCGCGGGGGGCAGGGTCGCGGCGACGCTGGCGGGGAGGTCCTCCCCGAACCAGCGGCGCAAGGCTGCGTCAGTCGGCCCCGCCTGGAAAACCTGTTGCCAATGGGCACGGAAATCCGCGGTCGCGTGTGCAAGTTGCAGCGAGCAGCATCGCGAGTGGCCTGCACGAACTTGCCCCGTCCGGGAGACAACCGGGAAAGCAATCGGAAATTGGCCGCGCGCCTGCGCCGCCGCGCCAACTCGGTTATGACGGCCTGCTCGTCGCGCATGCGCGTGAGCTCGTCGACCGCGTGGGAGCGGGCTCATTCCCACCAGCCCTTTAGGCGTCGGTGGTTTAACGAGTTTCCTCTTCCACCCCTCCTTCTTCCCCTTCGGGGAGGGGTTTACCCCTCCCCCTACCCCCTCCCCACTGACCTGGACAGGAGGGGCGGGGAGCGGTCAGAGCGTCCAAAACGGCCTCGCCGAGGAAGCCCAAATCATTGATTTTACTAAGGTTTTGGCCCCATTTTGGCCTTCTCAGGGGGCAACGCTAATTAAGGCTCCCCTCTTCTTTGAAGCCAAAATCATTGATTTTGCTAAGGTTTTGGCCCCATTTTGGCCTTCTGAGGGGGCAGTGCTAATTAAAGCTCCCCTCTTCTTTGAAGCCAAAATCATTGATGTTACTAAGGTTTTGGCACCATTTTGGCCTTCTGAGGGGGCAGCGCTAATTAAAGCTCCCCTCTTCTTTGATCGATTTCCTCCAAGATGGCCCCAAGAAGCGCCCAGGAGGCACCAAGAGGCCCCAAGATGGCCCCAAGATGGCCCCAAGAGGCCCCCAGGAGGCCCCCAAGAGGATCCCAAACGGCCCAAAGAGGCCCCCCCGAGGCACCCAAGACGCCGAAAAGCCCCTCAGGACGACCCTCTACTCGCCTGGGCGTCGTTTCTGGACGGGCTGGTGGGGATACGCGAAGCGTCTAGAATTCCACTGCGTGGGCCCGGACCAGAAGCAGACCGCGACCTGCTGCCAGCGCGGGGTCGTAGAGGTTCGGGACCAAGGAGCATAAATGCGGGTAGCCCTCGACATAATCCCTCCTCCGCCTCCTCCGCTACCTACTCAGACTTGCTAGCACTCCGAGCACTCCTGCTGCTCAATTACCTCCAATTCCTCCTCCCTCTTCTCCCACTTATCTTCTTCCTTATCCTCCTTCCTCCTCCCTTCCCTCCTCCATGTCCGACTCCCTCCCCTGCTTCTGTTTCTCCTCCTCCTCCTTTTCTTCCTTCTCCTCCTCCTCCTTCTCTAGCCCGTGGCGCCCGCGGACTTGGCGAACCTGACGGCACTACGGGGGCCACCCTACCTGCAGCAAGGCATTCCTGGTCCTCCCCATCCGCCCTGGGATCCCCTTCCTGTGGAAGCCTGGCCCAAGTCCCGGTGGCGCCAGCGACGCACGACGCAAGGCATCTCCTCCATCTCAAACTCCGTCCCCATCCCTCCTTCCTCCTCGTGCTCCCCCTTCTCTCACCTTCGCCCACTCCTCCTCCTACTCTTCCCTCCCCGCCCCCAGTGACGTCACTGCACCAATCTTGCAGACGTGCTGCAGCGGATTTCTGCCTGGTTCTATTGCAAAAACCCGAAACGGCGAGCGGAAAACTAAGTGAATTTCACGTGGATCGTTTGTTAATCTTCATTCCTGGCAAAAAGAAATCCGCACGAAATTCACTTCGAAATCTGGAACGGACTCTCCGGGTCCATCCTATTGTTGAAATCCGAACGAAATCCGCTCTGCGATGTTGGCGCCATGACCAGTGCAAACCCATCCTTCCCACAACTTCTTGTTGTACGCCTGGTCGATGAACCACTTCTTTTCGTTTTGGTGGCTGTCCTGAGCCGGGGCGGGCGGGGAGACTCACCCACTCGTGGAACCCTCGGGCAGCCCTGAGGAATCCACCCCTCCCAACCCTCCCAATCCTAAAACCCTCTCAATCCTTCTCATGGACGTCTTTGGAACATTTGCCCCCTCTTGGGCCTCCAAAAGTCCCGGGAGAGAAACCTGACCGGACAAGAATGGGAAGCGTCGCTTTTGTCGACGAGGTATGTGAAGCATGCTCTTTTGTTGGCCAGCCGCGCAGATGTGTTGTGGCGTGCGTGCGTTTGCGCGTGCGCGTGCGTGCGTGGAATATGAGCATGTGTGTCCGTGCGTGGTGGTCTGCGACACTGCTGTGTTATGCCGTGCTGCTCTGCCGTGCTCGTGCGGTCGGCGTGAACGTCTGTTGCCTCTCTGTGTGTGCGTGTCTCTGTGTGTGTGTGTCTGTGTGTGCGTGTGCATGTGCGTGTGCGTGTGTCTGTGTGCGTGTGCCTCCGTATGAGCGTATACCTGCGGGTGCGGCTGTGTGAATAGATGTTCTATGTGTTCTGCCGTGCTCCTATGTGGTCTGCCGTGCTCCTGTGTTAAAGTTAAAGTTAAAGACGGGGCCTTCAAGGCACAAGGAAAAAACAACCAGAACGCGGACACGGCCAGACGGGACAGCCGTTCCCGAAAGAAGCCGAGTCCCAAGCAGAGCGTGCCACGCGTGCCTACTCACCACGAGGAGCAACACCCGCGAGCGAAACGATGCTTATTCTTCACTCACTCACGGACGGCGGGCCGCGGTGCGCCAGACGGCGGCTGACCCTGCGGCTCACCCCTGGCCGCCGCTCGCCGTGCTGCTCGCGGCGGCCAACCTCCCCTCGGTGTCTCCGCGCATGCCGAGACGCTCAGCTCCCTTCGAAGCTGGCTGCTGCAGGGGCACGCTGGCATCCGCCACCTCCGCCGCCAGCACTGCCGCGGGAGCAGCTGGGCCTCTGCCTGCGCTGCTGGCTGCAGTCGAGGCACCGCCTGCAGACTCCGCCTTCATGTCGAACCACTCAAGGTAGCGCTCCTGGGCGTGCCCTGGCACTGGCCCTTGCGAACGCAGGGCGGGGATGCCCTCTCCCTTCACTCTCTGCTTGTCCGCTCGTGGCCTGCCTCCAGGATGGAGCCCTCGCGCCCACAGGCTGCGCTGGTTCCTGCCCGCCGTGCTCGTCTTGTCCCCTGGGCACCGCTCCTTCAGGCGAGGCTTGGCTCCTGCGCGGCTGCCCAGCACCTTGTAGGCCCCGCACCTGGAGCAGGCCACGACCTCCTGGGCGTCTTCGCCTGCGCGGGCGTAGCAGAGCGTGTGCCCCAGGATGCTGAAAGCGACAGCAGCGGCCGAGATGGTAGTCGAGCTGCTCCCCGTCGAGCGGCTGCTCTGCAGGCATGGCCGCTTGGCGGGGGCGCCGATGCCGAGGGCCGCTCCAGCCAACGGAAGCACCTCGGCCGTAGCGGCCTGCGCCTGGCGTTGCTCGCCCGCAGGAAGGGGGCCCTTAGCAATCCTTGGTCGAGCCATCGAGGTACAGCTTGCCGTTGAGCCTGCCGTCAGCTGGCTTGCGACTCCTGCAGTTGCGCATCGCCCGGTGCATGTTGGAGACGTGGGCACCACGCACGTGCTGCTCCCTCGCGCCCAGCTCGATGCCTGGCCGCCCGAGCCGCCGCCCGATGGCGTTCTCGAGAAACGGCCGAAGCAGGAGGGGGTTGCTGCTGAGCCTCCGCCTCTCATGGCGGTTGGGGGCCTGCCGAGCACCATGCCCATCCTTTATGCTCAGCGCCTGAGGCCCGAGGAACATGGGCTCGAGCTCGTCACCGGGGTCCGCGACCTTGCACAGCTCTGACTCGAGGTACCAGCCGAACTGCTCCAGGGGCCGCACCACTGCTACGGTGGGCGAGGCACAGCGCCCCCCTGCGGCGCCACAAGCGCGCCTGGCTGCTGCCGCCTCCACCCCCCCCCCCCCCAACACACATCCTGCGCGGCAGCTCGGCTGACTGCAGCAGGTCCGCCATCACTGCCGTTGCCTCGAGATGCTCAAGTACTCCAACTTGGCCAACGAGGTCGCTCCACTCGCTAGTGCCGAACTCGAGGGCCCGAACTCGTCCTCCTCACAGGCTGATGTGGTGGCTGCCTCCACATCGTCTAGGCAAAGCACCACCTGCCACAAATCCCTAGCCCCGCGCGAGGGCTGCCAGCGCCGCCTCCTGCCATCTGTGAGCCTCTGCAGCGCTACGTCGAGGGCCTGGCGCATGGCGTGGGCGGGGGCCGAGTGTCGGTGGCGGCACTCGTGCTTGACCGCCGCGCTGAGGGGCATGAGGACCGCAATGGGCCCTTCGGCCCGTCCCAGGTACCTGCGTAGGTCGCCGTCGTCGACGCCATGGATCCCCACCAAGGTGCACTCGACTACTTGGATCCACTGGCGAGCAGCCTCATTGGGGGCGCTCGGGTGGGAGCCCACCTCCCAGGACCAACGGCAGGGCTCCACCTGCCTGCGAGTGCACTCCACGCGGCTGGGCACCTGGACGGCTCTATCTTCGCGGGGTCGGCGAGCTGCGGCGTCGCCATCAGGGAAACGAGCTGGGCGGACCAGCACCTGCGCCAAGGCATCTGGTCCCGCATCCTGAAGCCGCAGCCTTGCACTGGCGGGCCTCCTGCGCCCCTGCCCCCAGCTGCGTGGCCAGCAGGGCGAGCAGCCAAAAAGGCCAGGTTCGCTGCCTCGGCTGCCAGCTCCCGCTTGCAGGCCTGCGCCACCTGCGGCCACTCGCCGAGCGCGTTGCCATACCGCTCGGCTTGGCCGCGCTCCGCTGCGGCCTGGGGCTGCCAGGGGCCGCTGCTGCCTGCGAGGTTGCCGTCGTTGCCGTCGTCGCTGCTGATCTCGTCCACGGGGCAGGACTCTGCCCGCGGCGCTTGCGTGGGGGCCAAGGGGGGCCCAGCGAGCTGCGCTCGCACCGCCTCCATCTGGGCGCGGATGGCTGCCCACGCGACCTCGAAGTTGCTGGAGGCCCGGGCCTCTGGCAGCTTGCCCAGCTATGTGGGGAGCCCTGGGACCTGGCTGGCTCCTGCCCACTCAGCTGCCCGCCGGCGCTCCCGCGCCTCCGCTTCCTCACGGGCGGCTTCCTCGAGGACCTGGAGCGCCCTGCTGGCCTCCTCCAGCGCGCCGCCCCGCTCCGCGAGCTCCTCCCGGGCCTTCTGGAGCTGGGCCTCCGCGAGGTCGCGCGCCGCCTGCTTCTGCTCCAGGTCCTGGCGGGCTGCGCGTAGCCGCTTCTCCGACTTGCTGATGGCGTTGGCCTCTTGTGCAGCAGCGTCGACCGCGGCATGGTGGCGGCCTTCTGCTCCGCTGCTGCCTGCTGGGCCTTGGCCAGCTCTGCCCGCTTCGACTCCAGCTGGCTGGCCACGACGCTGGTGAAGCTGCCGTCCACGCCCTCGGGCGGCCCAGCCTGCAGCGCCTCCGGCTGCTCGACCGTCGCCTGCAGCCTCTCGACAGCCGTGACTCCACCGCCACTCGGCGCCCCACTGGCCGCAGACGCCGAGGTCTGCGACTTGGCGGATGCCGCTCGCGAGGCAGCGCTGCGGGCCTGCAGCTGGGCTTTGCGCCCCCTCGGCTGGTCCACCCAGCCGTCCTTGTCGGCCTTGGGCTTCCCCGCGGCGGGGCTGACCCCAGAGCCCAGGGCGGCGCTGCATACCCGCAGCTGAAGCAAGAGGCTCGCCAGTCCCAGTACCAACCTCCGCAGCTGCACATCCAGTACGGCCTGCTGAGCTTGCCACTGCTGCCGCCACGCGAGGAGCGCGCCATGGCCCCAGGCGCACGGGCTGAGCGGTCGCGCCTCCGCGCTGCGAAAGCCAGGAGCAGAACAACAGAGTGCACTGGCCCAAAGCGAGGAGCCCCTCGTGCTCGGAACGCCGCGGACGACCCGCGGTCGTCGGGTGCTCCATGGCCTTGAGCCAAAATGGCTACGGACCGTGCTCCTGTGTTCTGCCGTGCTCCTGTGTGTTATGCCATGGTCCTGCTCTGCCGTGCTCCTATGTGTTATGCCGTGCTCCTGCGTCTGCCATGCTTCTGCGTGTTAAAGTTAAAATTAAAGACGGGGCCTTCAAGGCGTAGGGGGGGGGGGAAGGAAAAGGGACCGAGGGGCCTCCAGGGGCGCTGAGCGCCACCCGAGACACGCCCTCCCGAGAGGGGCCGCCTAGGGCCGCCTCTCCCCGCGGGGGCCGCACTGGGCCTCCACCGCGGCCGCGCCGCAAGGCGAGAACAGATCTACATGCAGAATGCAACTGCCTGCCTCACGCACTACTCTTGGGCCGCGTCGTGCCACGCGCGCGGGCCAAGAGACCATCGAGGAGCCGCGCGCGCTCCTCGGCATCTGGACAACCTGCACTGCCGAGGTGGGCGCCGAAGGCGCGGGCCTCGGCCCAGTCCAGGGGCGACTCCACTCCCGACTTCGGCCCCTGGGCCGCACGCGCCACCGCCACCACCGAGAAGTCGTCCAGGAACGAAACGAACCCGCACTCCGAGCCCGAGTGGCCCCTGAGCCTCTGCTGCTTCGGGGTGGGCTGGTCCGTCTCCAGCGCGCCCGTCGCGCAGCGCCGCTCCCTGCTCCGAGACGGGGGCGGCGGCAGCGGTCGGCGGCGCCAGCACCTGCTCCTCGAACGTCTCGCCCTTCTGCGTGAAGAGCGGCTCGATGAACGCATTCTCGCCGAGCACCTGGTCGACGCCCCCGTCGTCGCTGATGGCGCCCAGCACCGTCTCGCCCTTCTGCGTGCAGAGCGGCTCGATGAACGCGTACTCGCCGAGCCTCTGGTCCACGCCCACGTCGTCGCTGATGACGTCCAGCGCCGTCTCGCCCTTCTGCGTAAAGAGCGCCTCGATAGACGCGTTCTCGCCGAGCACCTGGTCGACGCCCGCGTCGTTGCTGATGACGTCCAGCACCTGCTCCTCGAACACCTCGCCCTTCTGCGCGAAGAGCGGCTCGACGAGCGCATCCTCGCGGAGCACCTGGTCGACGCCAACCTCGACGCGGATGATGTCCAGCACCTGCTCCTCGGACGTCTCGCCCTTCTGCGTGAAGAGCGGCTCGATGAACGCGTCCTCGCCGAGCACCTGGTCGACGCCCGCGTCGTTGCGGATGACGTCCATCGACTGCTCCTCGAGCGCCCCGCCCTCCTGCGTGAAGAGCGGCTCGATGAACGCATTAACGCCGAGCACCTGGTCGACGCCCACGTCGTCGCCGGTGACGTCCAGCACCTGCTCCTCGAACGTCTCGCCCTTCTGCGTGCAGGGCGACTCGATGAACACCTTCTTGCCGAGCACCTGGTCGACGGCCTTCTTCACCTCATCGATGCCCCTCTCACCAGGCACCTGGGCCACCTCGAGCGCTGCCAACAGGGCGGACTCCCGCGCCCTGGCTGCCACCTCGCCTGCGCAGCTGGGGGCAAAGGCGGGCGCCTCGGCACGCAGCAACGTGCTGTGGCCCGCGATGACGCACTCGAAGGCCTGCGCTTGCAACGGCAAGCCGTCAGGCAACTGCGGGGCGCCTCCTGCAGCCTCCAGGGGGGGCGCGTGCCGGGCGCGGTCGCCGAAGTGCAGCGCGCCCTCGATCTCCAGAAGCTCGTCGCGTGGCAACTGGAGGAGCCTGGCCGCTGCCAACGCCTCTCCCATGCTGGGGCAATGCGCCCCCAGCCGATCACGTAATCGCCGGCGTGCACGGGGCGAGGCTCGGAGCGCCTTGCCGCGCGACGCCAGCGCGGCGGCGCGAGACGCTCCGAGCTCCTGTCGAACTTCTCGGTGATTCTTCTGCAATGCTCCTATGTGTGTTTTTGAATGTTCTGGCATGCTCCAATGTGTTAAAGTTAAACTTAAAGACGAGGCCTTCAAGGCAAGGCGATGTCCAGAACAACACGCGGACAAGGCCAGTCGGGACCCACGTTCCCGAAAGACGCCGAGTCCCATCAAGCCCCGAAGGTCACGAAAGCCTACTCACCACAGAGCAACGAGCATGGGCCTCACGGATGCATATCTTCCTCTCACTCACGGACTGCGCCTCGGCGCGCCAGACGGCGGCGCCAGACGGCGGCGCCTCGGCGCAGCGGCCGCAGCCGCAGAGGCCTCGCTCAGGCTGCGCGAGGCGGCCACAAGCGTTGCGGCAGCCGCTGGAGCATTGCCTGCACAGCTCGCAGCGGACGGGCCGCGCACTGCAGGCTCCGCTGCGATGTCGCGCCACTCCAGGTATCGCTCCTGGGTATGACCTGGCACTGGCCCTTGCGAACGCGGCTCAGGGATGCCACCTCCCTTCACTCTCTGCCTGGCAGCTCGAGACCTGCCACCAGGATGGGGCCCCCGCCGCTGCAGGCTGCGCTGGTCCCCGCTTGACTTGTCCGTCTTGTCGCCTGGGCGCCGCTCTTTGAGGCGGGGCCTCACCCCCGAGCGGCCGCCTGACACTTCGTGGGCGTCGCACTTGGAGCAAGCGACGACCCCCTGGGTGTCCTCGCATTCCCAAGCACTGGCATAGGACAGGGCGTGCTCCAGGACGCTGAAGGCGACGGCGCTGGCCGAGGGGGCGGGCGAACTGCAGCTCCCCGGGCGGGCGCTCTCCAGGCGTGGCCGCTTGGCCAGAGCCCCCGCGCCAACGGGCTCCACTGCGGCCAGGGGCGCCTCGACGGCCACGGAACGCATCTGGCGCCGCTCAGCAGCAGGAGGGAGCCCTTCGCCCTCCTTGGCCTCGATGCCTCGCTCGACGAAGGCGGCCTGACTGACCCGGCGTCCTAGTTCACACACCAACGCTGCCAGTGCGTGGTGCTCGCCTACTTTCTGCCTGTCCACTGCGTGCAGCTGGCGCCCCGACTTGGCTAGGCGGTCTGCGCGCTCGCTGCCGCGCTTCTCAGTCTCCGTCAGGAGCTCGTAAGGGAATACCTGCCTCAAGCAGCATGTTGGCCCCTTCTTCGTCACGAACACACCTGGCTCGAAGGCCGCCGCGATCCTGCTCCACAGGTGGGCGTTGGTCCTGCTGGGCGCAGGGGCGCCCGCTCGCCCTCCACAGGCAGGCCGTGGCGGTGCCGCAGTCGGTGTTGACCTTCTCCCCCGTAGGCCCCGCATAGTTGACGGGGGTCCCGCCAGTGGAGTCCTCGCAGTTCTTGGCCGTCTGCTGCGGGCGGAGGTCCCGCCTGTCGGCGCCGTCCACGAGGTCCAGCTTGCCGTAGAGCCCGCCGACAGCTGGCCTGCAAACGCTCCACCTACTCCCATTAGGGTGCGCGTTGGAGAAGTAGGCGCCTCCCGCGAGCCGCCCCCTCACACTCAGCTCGTTTCCTGGCCCGAGCAGCTGTCCGATGGCGCCCGCGAGCAGCGGTCGATGCAAGGGGGGGTCGCGGCTGAGCTTCGGCATCACATTGCGATCGAAAGCCTGCCGAGCTCCCAGGCCAACCTCAATGCCTAGCGCCCTGGGCCCGAGGAACATGGGATCGAACTCGCCGCCGAGGTCCGCGGCCAGGTACTGCTTCGACTTGAAGTGCCAGCCGAACCGTGCCAGGGTCTGCCGCTCCGCGTCGACGGCCGAAGCACAGCGCTTCCGCCTGGCGGCAATGGCGTGCCTGTCCTCTGCCTTCTCCAGCTCATGAGCCTCCATCCTGAGCGGCCGCTCGCCCGACTGCAGCAGGCCCGCCATCCACCGCCGCTCATGCAGCGTGCCTGGCTCCGTGCCGGGGTCGCCCTGCAGGTACAGCGCTCCCCTGGCTCCCTTGCGCCCATGCGGGGCAAGGCGGACCTCCTGGAGCAACGCCGCCAGGGCTGCCCCTGCGGCCTGGCCTGGCGCCGGTGGGGCCAGCGCTCTCCCGAGGTTGCGGGGCCGCTGGCTTCCGAGGCGGGCCGCCTCGGCGCGGCTGCACTCCTGCTGGCGCGGGTCCGCCGCACTGGCCTCGCTAGGCGCTCGTAGGCCCTGGCTGCGCGCCCCCGATGCGGCCCCCAATTGCGCGGCCAGCCGTGCGAGCCTTGCAAGGCAGCTACTAATGGACAGCCCCTGAATCCAGGAAACAATTTAATTACATGAAAAATGTAATAAATAAGCGATGTGAAATAAGTCAAAATTAAGCCGCTGCCGTATGTTCTTACAGAAATAACAAAAATATACAAGGCCCCGAATGCAACGGCAGCGGCGGCGGCGACGCGACGGCAAAGCAGAGAGAAGGGAAATAAACTGCAACAGCGCAACTGTCAGGAGAAAGTGAGTTCCAGCCGGAGAGGTTGCGTGACATCGCATGGCGAATCACATTGAAACAAAGGAAGCAGAAGGAGGAGGAGGAGGAGAAGGAGGGGAAGGATATGGACGAGGAGGAGGAGAAGGAGGAAGAAGTTGATAGAGGAGGGCGAGGAGGAACACGAGGAGTTGGACGAGGATGACCACGGCGACGAACACGAGAAGGGGTAAAGGGAGGAGGAGAAGGAGGAAGAGGAGGAGGAGAAGGAGGAGGGGGAAGAAAAGAGGAGGGGGATGAGGAGGAGGAGGAGCAGGACGAGGACGAGGAGGAGGAGGAGGAGGGGGGTGGACATTTTTCGAGCATCCCCCACGAGTGGAAACCCTGCCGCAGCAGGCTTGCTGCATCCACGAGCACCAGCCCCCACCCCCGCTGATGCGGAAAGGAGTGAAGGCGCTGAGTTGGGCTTGGCGGGGATCGCTGTGGTCTTATCGCAGGCCCGCCGCAGGCGCCGATTTTGAATCGCAGCAAAAATCTGCATTGATATCGCAAGCCCGCAAACGACGCTATTTCTTTAGAAGAAGAAAACGGATACTGTTTGCAAGCCTGCCGCAAGCACCGATTCTGCATTGAAGCCAAAACCGGCGTGATGATGGCAAGCTTGCCGCAGGCGCCGATCTTATGATCAGGAAACGAATTATGATTGCAAGCCCGCCGCAGGCACCGATTAAAAACTGAAGCTGCAACAAGCGTGAAGATGGCAAGCCCGCCGCGGGCGCCGATTTTTTTCACCGGAAAGTAAATTATAGGAAATCAGTGGCGACATTCTACTGGCGAAGCGTTCGGCGACAAAACGCCAATCCAATAATAAACGATTTCAACTAGAAATGAATGGCGTAGCGTTGGTAGAGGCGCAACTATCTAATTGCGAAAGCATGCGAGCCCGCGCGATGCTTCATGCCCAAGTAGGCCACTCCGAGAAATGTGCGAGCAGCACGGTTGGCACGAACGAAATCGAAAACAAGTCGACCGCGAAGAACGACGACGCGAACACGACCAGGAAAAGCAATGCAATTCGCAAGGGCGAAACATTAAAACAAAAGTCCGGGCAAATAGCAATGCGACGGCGGCAATCAAGGCAAGCGTACCTTCGCAGACCGCTGAAGATCGCGCAAACAAGCGCTAGGCCGAAACAAACACCTGATATTACCACGAAGCCCGACCTTGGAGGACAAATGGGGGCTCCTGCGATGCGGGCTCAGCACGCGACCATGCGAGCCACTGTGGGGGGGCGCGTGGCTTGCGAGCAAGTGAACTGCAAAGAAAAGCGTGCATGCGGACCACTAGTTTTGAAAGGTCCGTGCGTTGCAGGTGAGATGCCAAGATGGCACCTGACGTTGGCTCCCGCGTTGTCCGTTTGAGGTGGTGACGCTTTGTCGGGATGTCTCCAAACATCCTGGGGTCCTCTGGCGCAGTGTTGGGGCCCTCTTGAGGGAATCTGGGGGCCTCCTGGTCGTGGGCTGAACGCTGGTTCCCGTGTTGTCCGTTTGGCGGCGTCTCCAACCATCGGGGCCCTCTTGGGCAATCTTGGGGCCCTGTTGGGGACGGCTGGGGGCTTCCCGGAGGCCTGTTCCAGGCCGGCTCGCTGGGGTCTTTTGAAGGCCTCTCGGGGTTCTCATGGGGGCCGGTTGGGGCCTGAGGCCGTCTCGAGAGCGTGTTGGACTGGTCTGGGCGCTCTCTTGGGGGCCTCTCGGGACGTCTTGGGGCGGTCTTCGGGACCTCTTGCGCCGCCCCGGAACGTCGGGGGGCCGAGGGCGCCGAAACTCGAAAGACATTTAGAAAACCAGCGAAAATCAATACATTTTGACACGTGGGGCTCTCTGGGAGGGCCTCTCGGAGGCCTCCCGAGGCGTCCTGGGAGCGCCGAGGGCCGTCTGCGCGCGATGTTTGGGGCCTCCAGGGGGCCTGGCGGGGCCTCGGGGGGGGCCCTTGTGCGCGGTGAGCTTGAGATGTAGGTTCCTGCCCTTCTTCTAGAAGCTTTCTGGGGGACTTCCTGGAGCCCTCGAAGGCCGTCTCGGGGGGGGGGCCTGGTGCCCCCTCCCGGCCACAAGAGGGGCGCCGGCGGAAGCAGGCGGAAGACGGCCCCATTTCGGCAGACACGCTTCCGCGCGGCACGGGCGGCCCCAAGATGGTCGGCAAAATGTTCCGAGAGGGCCGCGAGTCGCCATCAGGTCGATCCAGGCCGTCCAAGATCGCACCCGGGTGGCCCAGCGAGCTAACAGGACGCTTCGGGCTTCCTTTTGTTTTTTTTGAAGTTTTTCTGGTTTCCGCGTCTTCGGCTTGCCGACGCACCAAGACAGCCCAAGAGGGCACCAAAACCTCCCAAAGACGGCCTCAGAGGCCCCCGAGAAGGCGGCCAGGCAGTCCAAGACGCCTTCATGACGGCCCAAGAGGCCCCCACGACGGCCTCCGAAG